AAAAAAAAAGAGAAAGAGAAAGAGAATAATAATTCCAAGTAAGCGAGACCTCGAAATATTTGTGCTCATATATGTATGTTCTTACTAAATAGAAAAAGAAGAGAGAGAGAGAGCGAGAAGAAAAAAAAAAGGTCATTAATAGTATTGTCTACATTATATTGTTTTTATTTTTTTTTCTATATTAATGAGATTCATGAGAAGTTTTTAATAAAAATCAAATTAAATTTTTTTGTTTATTTTCTTCTTCTTTTTTTTTCGTATTTTAGAATTTTCTAACACGCATACATTTAACTTGATGCGTGTTTTGATAGATGAATATAAGTGGCAGCAGCAACAATATCAACTAATATTAGTAAAAACAGCAATGATGAACATCAGCGTTGCTAATCATGTTCCCATTCAATCATATAAACAAATCTCTAACTTTTCCAACATTCAATATTATAACAACATCATCTATCTATCGATTATTAAATACGAATAAACGACAAAAACGACGAGAAGATATTCAAAATACTATTACGATTACGCCAATAGTTTCAAATACAACTTCATTTTTTACTTCCACTTCAACAACTCAATATCAGCAAATCTCATTTGACGAATCCTATTCCGTTAAAACAGGAATTAAGACAGCAGCTCTTCTTGGCGGTATGTCATATATATAATAAAGTAACAAGAAAATCCAGTCTTTTAATAGAATATTTTAGAGATTTATTCATGCATAAAAGTTAACAATTAAGAAAATAATATTCTTCTCTAGATAATCGATGAACAAAACTACTTCGTTTTTTGTTTTATTACTATCGTATGATTTTTTTCTTGCTATCACACACAAAAAAGAAATCATTGTAATATATATTCGATCTATAATAAGAGCATACTTATATTGAAGAGTAGTAAAATGTTTCCGGAAAAAGTGATAAGAACAATGATTTATTCATAATAAAGACAACAACTATAGATGAATATAAAATAATAAATCTTAGTTAAATTAATAATTTTCTTAGTAAAATATCAATATTGATTTTTTTGTTCGTAACTATCCAAAATTTTTATATTTAATTAAAAATAAATATTGGAATTAAAACTGAATAGAGAAAGTTCCTTTTTTTTCTCTTCTGTTTGCTATGTACTAAAATTATCTATGATTGTTACATCAAACTTTCAACAGAAAAACATGTTTTGATTGTTAGTAATTATCTCAAAACATAACTTTTTTTTCCGATAAATTATTATTATTAGTTTAAATTTCTTCTTTACATTGTACAATATCATTAAAATATTTCTCATATAGAAAACTTATTTGACAGATGACTAGTTGCATTTCCTGTTAAAAGTTACATCCCATTAACTAAATGTATGTCTATTGCTTGCAATCTGCTAGTCCAAAAGAATAGTTATTATAAACTTCTTAAAAAAAAATAGACTTTTACTGGATTTCCGAGTAAAAGGTTAGCTTATATAATTATTTAAATAGAAAAAAAAACAATTATTTATATGTTTAGGTATGTTATTGCTTGTTGTCTTTTATCTATGTTGGAAAGCACGTTCTCG